ATATTTAAACCCTTAAAGAAAATAGGGCCCTTAAGGCCCCCTTCCTTCTTCAACCTGGCCGAACAGAGGTCCCCATTGCGACCGTATTCCTTATCCTGTTCCTGCACAAAAGGAACCCTCCATATAAACCCTCAATCAATATTTATTTAGGTATTACTATAACCTAGATATTTTTTAAATAAGTATACTAATTTTTAATTCTGTTAGCTAGTAATTATGTTTTATTACTAATAGCTTTTTAAATAAGAATAAGATTAGCTATTTTTTATTTTTATTATTTACCTAGTATAGTATAATCTTATAGCCAAAGTTTTTTAAATTATTAAAATAAAATAAAAATTATTTAGTAAAATCTAGAGTAATCTATAAAGATATTATAACTAGTGCCTTCTTTAGCGTGTCTTATACTATCTTATAAATATTATTAAAAATTAGGACTGCCTTTAAGGCAAAAATTTTTTATTTATAATCTTTTTTTAACATATAATTTAATATCTATATTTTTAGGCTCTCCAGAAGTTCTATGATATATAAATATTTTAAATAATAATATTTATGTCATGGTGCAGACCTGAGGGCGCCGCCAAGCCCGCCAGAACCAGACAGAACCACTAAACCAGAAGAACCTGTCTCTGATCCTGATCCCCTGATTACTTAAAAGCCTAAATACTAAAGATTTTATTATAGCTCCTTAAGTTATATCTTATTTATTATTCTGTATATAGCCTAGTTATAATAATAATTAAAGACCTTATAAACCTAGTCTGCCTAACTTAATTAAATTACTTATCTTACCCGCCCCTACTATACTAACTTTATTAATCTGCTAGTTTATATTTTAATATTATATAGCTCCTATTTATAAAACTAGTATTTATTTAATATATTTAAAATTTTAAAGCCCTTATCTCTCCCTAAAGACCCTAAATTATTTATTTAATATATTATTAAATATACTAAAAAATAATATACCTATTATAACTAGATTTATATATTTATAATAAATATTAATACTAATTAAAAATATTTTTACTAAAAAATCTTTTATCTTTAATAAAATATAAATATTATTATATAAATTATTATTCTTTAAGTAAATTATAAAAAAAACTTAAATTTTAAATTTATCTAGGCCCTAGCTAATAAAAATATAATAATTTAAAAATAAAATTATATAATTTAAATTATTATATTTATAATTAATACCCTAGACTAGACTTCTAAATCTATTATTAAAAAATTTTTAATTATTTTAATAAAAATGTTTATATTAATTAATCCTAGATTTTCTACCTCTGCCTACTTTTCTAAATAACTATCTAACTCTAATAAATTTAAAAATATTAAATTAGATTTTTACTATTTTATTTCTTAAATTAAAAAAAATAATTATAAATTATAACTATTTTCTAATTTTTTAAACTTATATAGCTTATATTTTTAATTATTTAAAAAAACTTTTTTATACTTAAGTCCTCTTATATATTAAAAATAAAATTTACTAGCTAAAAAATTATATTAAAATTTTAAAAATACTTAATTATATTTATAAAGACCTGAACTATATTTATAATATCTAGAATATTTTATATAACTTAAAATAAAAAAATTAAAAATTTTTTATTTTTTTTTACTAAATTTTAATAACTAGTTATAAAAAGAAAAATAATTAAAAATAATTTTTTTATTTTTCTTAAGAAAACTATTAACCAGGAAATAAAAATTATATTAATATATTAAAACTTATTTATTAAAAATTATATTAACTTTATTATTTTTTTATAAAAGTTAAAAAACTATTATACTTAATACTCTTATAATTAATCTTAGAAATTTATTTTAATTTTAATTAGAACTAATACTCGCCTATAGATCTTAATTAAGAATACCTAAAATTATTATTTTTAAAATCTAGTTAATAAATCCTTCTAGCCTATTATTATTATCTTAAATTTTAATATTATAAACTTTTTCTTAACTTACTGTTTATTTTTTTATTTTAAAAATAATACTTATAAAGATTATAATAAATATTTTTACTACAGATTAAATTAATATATAATTAAAGATTATCTTAAATTAAATAATTACCTATATTAGACTAATTATATTACACGCCTTATTTCCCTTCTAAAATCTTATTTATTTTTTTAAAAATAATTTTCCCTTATACTCTAGTCTTACTTTATAAAACTTATTTATATTACTGCTACTTTAGGCTTTCTAGCTTTAAATAATTTTTTAAATAAAATATCTATACTTTTTAAACCTAAATAAATAGTTAAAAAAAATTAGCCTAATTTAAACTATAATTAGGCAAACTTTCTTATATAAGTTTATTAAATTTCTAAAGTTACTATTAAAGAACTTTTTATTAAAAAAAAATTTTAAAAAACTAACTTATTAATTATTTTTATTATACTAAACCCTAATAAAAGTAAAATTATTATTTATATTATATTTAATACCAGCTGTTTTATATCCTGTATTATAAATAAAAATTAGGCTAAAGTTTAGAATCTAACCCTATATTCCTTAAAAAAATCTAAGTTAATTATAAGATTTAATAACTATAAGAGCAAAATTAATACTATTATCTATTATACTTATATAACCCTAAAAATCTATAATTATATTAAAAAAAATATTTTATTTTTAATTATTTAGCTTATATATTTTCCTGTTATAATTAGACTTCTCTAGCTTAAGACCCATAATTCTAAAATAAACTTTATTAAACATATTTTTTAGTTTAATAATTAATATTATTAAAAATATTATAATATCCTATCCTATCTCTAAAAAATCTAGATCTTATATAATATCTTTATTTAAGCCCGCCTAATTAATTTAAAAATACTAAAGACCTTTTAGACCTATAATATTTATATAATATTTATAAGAGCTTGCGCTGTATATATAAAATAAAAAAAAATCTTTATTATTATTATAAAATAAATTAATTAAATAATTTATAAAAGGTCCCCTAAGAAATCTTTAGTATAAAAAATATTTAATCCTAATTAAAACCCTAATATCTTTATAAAATTTTAGGATTTTAATAATATATTTTTATTAAAAGAAGTAGATAAGTTACTCCTATATAAAAATTATAATTATATAATTACTTTAAAATCTAGTAAAAAATTATTATTTAGCTCTTTATATAATATATTCTAGGAAGAGTTAAAGGCCCTCCGGAAATAATTATTTAAAAACTTATAAAAAAATTTTATTTATTTAAATTTATTTTTTATAATATTCTTTATTTTATTTATTAATTAGCCTAATAAAAGCTTATATTTTTATATTAATTACTAAGCCCTGAATATAATTATAATTAAAGATTATTATTTATTATCTCTAGTAAAAAAGACCTTAAATAATCTAAAGGGAATATATTATTTTATAAAGATTAATATTATAAATACTTTTAATAATTTATATATTTAAAAAGATTAAAAGTAAATAACTATATTTTATATTTACCTAGGCTTATTTAAATCTTTAATAATATTATTTAGCTTAACTAAAGCCTCTGGGATATTTTAATATTATATTAATAATATTTTATATAATTATTTAAATATTTTTTATATTATTTATCTAAATAATATTTTAATTTATAGCTAAATTTATCTTAAGTATATTTATTATATTTATTAGATCTTACAAAAGCTACAAGAAGTCTACTTATTTATAAAATTTTTAAAATATAAGTTTATTATTTCTAAAACTAAGTTCCTGGGTCTAATTATTAATTATAAAAAAATTTAAATAAATTTTTTTAAAATTAAAATAGTTATTAACTAGCTTATTTTAACTTATATTATAAATATTTAAGTATTCCTAAGATTTAATAACTTTTATTATTATTTTATCTGAGATTTTTTAAAATTAATTACTTTATTTATTAGCCTAACTTATAAGAAAGTATTCTAAAAATAAACTTTATCTTATTAAGAAATCTTTAATTATTTTAAAAAAGTTTTTATTAATATCCTAGTCTTATAATCTTTTAACTAAATATATATTATAATCTTAGAGATTAATATTTCTGATTATGTTTTTATTAGAGTCTTATTTTAGTATAATAATAATAAAATTTTATATTTTATTATTTTTTTCTTAAAAAAATACTTACCTGCGGAATATAATTATAAGATTTATAATAAGAAATTATTTATTATTATTTAATATTTTAAAAAATAATATCCTAAACTTAAAAAAGCCCTATTTTTAATATAAATTATTTTTAATTATTATAATCTAAAATATTTTATATTTACCAAGCTCCTGAACTAATAATAAGCTTATTAATTTAAATTTTTATTTTAATTTAAGTTTAAAATTATATACTGTCTTAGAAAGTATAAAACTAAACTAAATAGCCTAATTAAGAGATTAGAGGATCTCTTTAAAAAAAAAATAAATATTTATAATACTAAAATTAAGTAATATTAAAGCATAAGAATCTTAATATTAATAAACTTAAATCTAATTTAATAAAAATCTCTAAACTCCGGATCCTGCTTGCCCTTATAACCTAAACCTGCTAAAATATTATTTTTAAAAATAAATAAAACCTACAACTACTACCCGAAATCTAGATAAATTTAAAAAAAATATATAAGAAAAATAATCTAATCTATAAAGTCTAGAAGGCCCTTATTATAAAAAAAAATTATTATTTAAAGATTATTTTAACTATTTATAAAAGATAAGGTAATCTCTTATTTTATAAGAACTACTTATAAATCCCCGAGGATAACAAACTCTAAGCTAAATTAATCTATTTAATATATAATAAGCCTATATCTGGATACCCTGGGAGAAAATATATATATAAATTTTTTATTTATAAATATTTTTAGTCTAATATATATTAATATATAGTCTAATAAATCTAGAACTATTATACCTGCTATTAAAGTATTTTATCCCGCGAAGTTAAATAAGATATTCTAAAACTTCTGCCTGTATCTAAATATATTTAGTAAAATATCTTTATAGATTTTATTATATATTTATTTAAGAGCCAGAATTATAATATTATTTTAATTATTATAAACCGCCTAACTAAAATAAAATACTTAATTTCTTATAATTTAACTATTAATATACCCGCTGTGGCTATAATATATATATAATATATATAAAATTTGTATGGCCTGTCCTAAACTATTATATTAGACTAAAAACCCTAATTTATTATTAAATTTTAGAAGTACCTGATCTAGCACTTAGATATTATAAATAAATTATTAACTATATATTACCCTAAGACTAATAACTAAACTAAATAAATAAATATTATACTAAAATAATACTTCCGAGCTTATATAAACTATTTATAGGATAACTAAAATATCTAGTTTTTTTTAATTAAGTTTTTCCTGAATATTATATATTCTAACTTAATTAAAATTAGCTTATTTTTTGTTAATTATAATTTTTCTTTATATATAAGATTTAAACCTGTTCTGATAAAAGATTATTATATTTATAATTATTTTATTATATGAGATATAAAATAGTTTATTATTAAAATATAAGTTATTATTAAGTTTACCTAAGCTAAAATACTATCTACCTAGGCCTATTATACTAAATAAATAAACTACTGGCACTACCCCGCCCGCCTGTTTAAAAAAGACTAACTAGTTTAGCTAGATATCTAATATATTAAAACCCTGCGGCCTAACAAAAAGCTGGACTAGAATACTTTAAACTTATACTATATTAAAAAGATTATTAACCTGTATACTTACTGTCTAAAATTCCTGCCTAGTATAAAAATCTATTTTATATTTAATATAAGCTTATTTATCCTTATTAGCTTAAATATCTTACCCGGCTAGTTAAATCTTCTCTTATTTTATGTTAAGGTTAATAGAGTTAAGAAATAAAAGATTAAAAATATTTTTAATTTATTCTAAGATTATCACGGCTGTGGCCGCCCTCGCCTAATATATATTATAAAGTAAATTAAATATATAAACTTTACTGTTAAGCCTGCTAGTTACTTAGAGTACACTAAATAGATTATTTAAAACTATTATTACTAGTATTTTAATAAATCTAGCCCTCTTTAGTCTTAATAAAGCTCAGCTATAAAAAAAAATATATTATTATAATATAAACCTAAGGATACCGCCAAGCCTGCCAGAACTAAATAAAACTACTAAACTAGAAAAATCTGTTTTTAATTTTAATCCCCTAACTGCTTAAAAGCCTAAATATTAGAGATTCTATTATAATTCCCTAAGCTATATTTTATCTATTATTCTATATATAATCTAACTATAATAATAATTAAAGACCTTATAAACCTAGCCCGCCTAACCTAGCTAGACCGCCTGCCCTGCCCGCCCCTGCTGTACCAACTCTACCAACCCGCCAGCCTGCACCTTGACAATTTATAAAATTTAAATAATTTTAGGCTATTTTTTAACTCTATAATATTTTTTAAATATATTAATTATTATATTACTTTAATCTTCTTTTTATTAGTAAAAAGGCCTAAGCAGGAAATATAATAGCTTAATATTTTAATTAATACATAAGTAAAATAATACTTAGAGATTTATAAGGTAATACTAGACTTATATAATATAATAAGAACCTGGTTAAGATATTAAATATAATTATCAGGGTTCGTAGAGTAAATAATTATATTATTAATATATATAAAGATAAAATTCTACAGAAATTATATTAATAGCTATTTTATATACTACTAAAAAAATAATAAGATAATTATAAGGCTTATTATTAAGACTTTGAGCCTTTCTAGACTATAATAAAATATAATAAAAATTATTTTTTACTTATTAACAGATTTAAATAGTTATTAGAAGAATCCCTTTTATATATTTATAATAAAGATCATAGCGCTTTTTCCCATAGTATCTAAGATTAATTTTTGGTAGGGTAATAAATATATAGATAATAATATTTTAGTATTAATTTTTGTCAATTGGGGTCACCTGACATCACCTGATTCATCAGAATCACCTGATTTCGCCCCACAACTGAAATTATTCAAAATTCACTACGACTCTATTCTTACTTCATTGAACTCTCACTTCCACTACCAAATTGTATGGGAAAAGTGAGGTGAAACTGAGCTTAATATGAGCAGAAAATGAAAAAGAAAAATTTCTGAAGAATTTCCTATTTTGGACTAGCTTACCTTCCTAATTAGAAAATCACCAATCACTAGAATCTTATAGAAGTCAGAAAATATAATTTAATAAATTTCCTATTTAGAAAATTAAAAGTTTATTTTAACTACTATAATTAATAGCTTTGTTCAGATGATCAATACAAAGGGTCCAGAATATCTTACTTATTCATTTTATAAGTCATAAAGTAAATATTACTACCCTAGTTATTCTGATATTATTTAAATGATTTTATTATAATTTATATATTAAATCTTAATTATTCCAATTATTCTAATTATAAAATCTTGATTATTTAATTATTTAAATAATTAAATATTAATCTAATAATAATCTATGAGGTTGATCTTAAAGACCTAGATTAATAATATAACTTATAAATAAAGGCCTAGAAGGATCTAATAATTTTATATTTATAACATTTGCTTAAGACCAGATTAAATTAGCCCTGATTTAATTGTCTATAAATATACAGTTAATAACCTGTATTAATTTATTCTTTTTATCAAGTTAATTTACCTATTTAATTTATTTAATTAAATTCTATTTATTTATTTAATTAATTTTACCTATCTATATATATAGCAAATAATAGGACCTCTAATCTATTTATTTCAGATCTAGGTGGTCCAGGTGAACTGTTTATTTTATCTGAGTAATTAATTTTCCTTATTCTATCTAGCTATTTAAAATTTTTATTTAACCCACGTGACCTACCTACCCCATCTGACAGTTATAAGCCCGGTCTAGCCCTTTGTTTTTACTATTTATGCATACACATGAATTAATTATTTACCTGTCTGATTAAATTTACATATATTTAATTAAATTTACACCTACACCTAAATTAATTATTTATCTGTTTAATTAAATTTAATCTACACGTGAATTGATCATTTGATTATTTATTATTATAGTAAATTATTTATTACTTATATTAATTTAATTTATTTAACCCATATACTTATTTTAAGTGTTTTATTTTACCTGTCTGAAGTGTTTGATTAATTTGAATTATTTTATTAATTTATTGATTGAATTTACATACACACGAATTAATTAATTACTTGTTTATTTACTATTACAGTAAATTACTTACCTATCTGATTTAATTAATCCCTACTTACCTAGTTTATTTTTACTTTATTGAACTTTCACTTTTATTATTGATTTATATAGTAAAGATAAGGTGAAATTAAGGTAAAATAAAGGTTAAGTGATTTAAATTATTTTATTAATTCTTTAAGCTTATTAATATAGATATAAAGCTTAATTTTTAATTAAACTAGTCACATAACTGGATATACTAGTTTAACATAATTAAAATAATTATTAAAAGTAAATATATTTAAGAATTTATTAATCCTAGTTATATAATTATGCGTAATTAACCTGTACGGCCTAGTCACCCGGAATTATATAACCTTAATAGGAATACTAGATTAATTATTATTTAACTTAAAATAATTAAGCGCTTTATTAAAACTTTTTACATAATTATAAATTAGCGCTTTAAGAATATTACTATATAAATAAGAGCTTAGCCCTAATTCTACTTCTAATTAAGAATTTAATATTATCAGCTAATAGAGTTTTAATATTTAATAAAAAAACCCTATATTATATACTACAGATCCTTCAAACAAAACTAGCTTCTACTAATAAATCAAGAAAACACAATATTATTAAGTAATATTATATGCTTAAAAATCTGCAGAATAAATATTTAATTAATTTATATATTTTATTATAAAAAAATATCTATACTAAAGCAAAATTACGTGAAATAAGCAAAATAAATAATTTATACTAAATTTAATATAATTTTATTAAAGCTGTTTATAAGTCTTATTTAATATTTATAAATTATTAAACAAAAAATTAAATAATAAAATTAAATTATATGATAAAATATTATTATTTTTTGATATAACTAAGTAATTTAGAGATTATATAAAAATATTCTTAATATTTAAATATTTAAATTAACTAAGCTAAATCACTTAAGTAATCTTTAAAAAAGATATTTTAGAAAATATTCTAAGCCTTAGGTTTAACCTTAGAACTCTTAAAAAGGAATAAAACTACCTTTATTAATTAGATCCTAATAGAGGCTACTATAAATTTAACTAATATTTTATATTAATAATTTATTAAAGAAACCAGAAAATTAGTTATATAATTTTAAGATTATTTAATAATTTAATAAAGCCTTCAAAAACCTTAAATTTTATATAGTACTTAAAGCCATAAAAAATTACTTAAAATTAATAAATTAAGCAATAAATTAAAATAATAAATTTTTAACTAATTTAATTATAATAACTTTAACTTTAATAAAACAAGAAAAATATACTAGTCTTAATTAGGTATTTAATACTACTGTAAATACTTATATCTATAATAATTAATTATTATTTAGTAATTATTATAAATTACTTATATTAATCTTTATAAGGAATACCCAAATATTAATTAAAGATTTTAGAATAATTAATTTAAAACTTTTAAACCCTTATAAAAATAAAATATTATTTAATTTATATTATTATATTTATATTTTATAATTTTATATTAATATTTTATTTACTTCAAAGATAAGATAATCAGGTATTTATTTTAATTTTAAGACTATGTACCTAGAAAGCCCTAATTATTATTTAATTTATAAAATTCTCGAAATTACAGGCATTTATTTAATTAAATAAAGTATTAATAATTATATTTAATAATCACCTGAATTAACTCCTGAAGATAATTATATTTATTATTTAAATTTATTATAGAATTTACTATTAAATACTAAAATAAATAAATTAAAGGCCTATTTAGTAAAAAATTTAAATAAACTAGTTATTTTTTATAAAATAGCTAAACTATAATATTTAAGATTAGGGTACTTAAGCTCTGAAACCCTAAAATACTTTAATTTAGTAATTAATAAAGTAAAAATTAATAATAAA